ACACTGTTAATTTCAGGGTGTTAAAATAACACCTCGGGTGGTGTTAGATTAACACCAACTGGTGGTGTTAAACAAAGGTGTTATTTTAGCACCCTTTTTCGGTGCTAATTTAACACGACATAAATAAAAATATTTTGCAAAGTGTTAATTTAACACTCAAATTGTTTAACACCACTTTAGAGGTGTTAAAATAACACCCACTTAAGGACCGGTGGTGTTAAAATAACACCGGTTTCTGGTGCTAAATTCTTGGTGTTAAAATAACACCATAAGTGGTGTTAAGAATTTGTATTCCCCAGTGTTAAATTAGCACTGTTTGTGGAGTTAGAACATAGGTGTTAAAATAACACCTTTTTGGTGGTGTTAAATTAGCACGCAGCACGAGTGTTAAAATAGCACCTTTTTGGTGGTGTTAAATTAGCACTGAGCACGGGTGTTAAAATAGCACCTTTTTGGTGGTGTTAAAACTGTTCGTGCAGTTAGAATAACATATATTCTTAAACTAAATTACAGGTATTTCGCCAAATTAATTAATTGGCAAATATTTATCCGAATATTATTTACTGTTAGCATGAAACAGCCGCATATTAATTTACTGGCAAATTATAAACCATTTCACAAATGAAACATTTGAATTCAGAAGTTAATACTTTTAGACATATAAATAATAAATTAACAGAAATAGTTCCCATGTCACATGCATGTGTCATGTATGTTTATGCATTTCATCATACAGATTGGAAACTGGCAAAATTGGACCTCAAAATATCGCATTTCAAATATCATAACACGCTATAATTTGCAGCAGTAGCAACACAATATGAAGATAACACACAATGAAGCCGAAATATTTGAATATTCGCGCGCCGCATGATCGAGCTTTCAACCAATGAGGATAGCGCCGCCGTGAAATCTAATACCTTCTTCTCACATCAATACTGGCATTTATCATATAGTTTGTGGTCGTTTGTATGGGAATATATCTGCTATTGTGGTGCGAAGGTTCTATTAGGATTGCTTCTAAGTGTCAGTGCGATGGAAGCGATACAAACTGATTAAAATGGCTTTAGTATATTCATATTTCAAGCATAAAGATGGCTTTAAAACAGTGTGAGGAAGAAGCGAGCAAGGTTGCTGTTTGTATTTGAATGACAAAGGCTGGCCGCTAATGCAATTCAAAACGTGTAGTTCACAGCGTCAATGCTTTAGAATTAGTTCGCCTGTAACTTCAAAGATGTGATAAACGTCGAAAGGAATAAGGTGAGTTATTATAATACTGCGAGAATTATAGTGATTGTTGTCTGCGATTGTCGTATTTATAATACGACCGCCATTATGCTGAGGCTATTCTCATTGCCAGTTAAGAAAACTTGCGCGCGTTTTGATTTACAAGTACTGTAGTTTTGTCTGATTTACTTGCGTTTACTGCTTTCATTTCAACTATAAAGACAAGTATTGTAGAACCTGAGATGGAAAATCGGGAAATGGCTGTTAAATGCCCAACCTCAACTATATCATATACAATTTATAGCATTATAGGAATGCAAGATTTTGTGCATTCTATTCAAATTACGCACAACAACACAGACCAACAATACTTTATTCATTAAATTTCAATGGCAAACCGAAACGGTAATGTTTTATATTGATTACTGAACGATGGAATTTATTTTATTAATATTGTCTGTGAGATGAGATACAGTATACACTACACAGCTGGACCTGAGCTGGTGTTTCATGAATATTTTTGCCAACTCGAATTTTATATTTGATTTTTAACCCATTAATTTAAGCTGCAATGTTCCCAAATATACCTTATTTTATTGTTTTATTCTGGCTAACGCCAGACAATTTTTATCTAATTTGCCAAGGGGATCTTATACCGTAAACCTCCGACTATAAGCCCTGGGCTTATATACTTTCGTAAGCGATTTTTGATGGGCTTATACAAGGGGGGGGGGTTATATATGCGGGGGGCTAATACATGGATGATCTTTTGTGTTAGTAATAAACAAATCAGACATAAACAAGTCAGTCATAAACAGGAAAATAAACATCCATTAATAACATGCTTTGATTAACATAACATATAGTCGGCTATAAAGACAATGACAATGTTTTTAAATATCGTTCTCTGCTATATTAAAAGACAATGAAAATGTTGAATAACGTAGTGGGCTAGTGGGCTTATATTCGGGGGACTTATATTTGGGGGGCTTAAATTTGGGTGTGCTTATGTTCAGGGGGGGGCCTTATATTTGGAATGAATTGAGCGTTAGTAGATGTGGTGGGCTTATATTCCGAGGGCTTATATTCGGGGGGGGGCTTATACAGTAGTCGGAGGTTTACGGTATAATGACAGAGATAATTTTACCTATCATTGGGCTATCAATGGGAGAGTCCTGAGTATTAATATTTAAGAGTGAAAATATTGATTATGATATAATGTTCACATTATAAAATCCCCAAACATAATTCTCTTTCTCAACCATGATGTCAAAAGATACACTAAACCTAATAAGTTCTTATTGCAACAGATTCTCATTTTAAAGTAGAATAATTGCCACATGTAGCACTTGTTAAGGTGAGATAGCACATCTCTTATCCATCCAGGACAAATGACCCATTTGACACAGTTAATTAACACTATAATGGGGGGTAATTTTTCTTTCTTAAAATGGCAATGTATCGATATGATTTTTCAATGGCAAAATGCAATTGGACTGTACAGGCCAGTCTGTACCAGTGACTAATTATATAGTTAAGCTAGGTGACACTTGCTCGATGGCTTCCCTGTTAGATACTGTACTCCTTTTGAAAAATATTAATTGCTACATGTAGTGTTAAGGTGAGATCATGGCACATCTCTTATCCGTCCTGGACAAATGACCCATTTGAGACGGGTAACATTATAATGAAGTAGTTTTTCATTCTTGAAATGGCGATGTATTGACATGATTTTTCAATGGCAAAATGGAATTGAACTGTAACAGTGATTAATTATATAGTTAAGGGACACTTGCTCAATGGCTACCCTCTGTTATATACTGTGCATACTCCTTTTGAAGTAATTAAAATTGCTACATGTAGTGTTAAGGTGAGATGGCACATCTCTTATCCTATCATTGCATGTGATCAATGCTTATTTGTCTCAACAAAGAGATGGTTTGCGCTCTAGGTAGCTATCTCATTGACAATTAGATAACGAGTAGCGTAAAGCCAATCAGAATACAGCATTTGCATTAGAACTTGACAACATTTAAAAGTACTAAATATATATACTGTATAGACTAATGTGAAAATGAATACTTTTAGGATGACGACTCCATTGTCCATTGATGAAGAAGTGAGGAAATCAACCTATAGCTACTGTATCCTTGAATCTTGGCATCAGGTGACATTGCATCCTTGGACCCATTGTACATTGCTGCCGTGGGGCAAATTTACTTGCGTTTTGCTGGTAAAAATATTCCACATACTTATTGCTACATTCCATGTTCTAAATATGGAATACACTCCAGGTGTTTCGAGTGTTTATGCATTTTCTAGAATTTAGAAGCTGTCACCTTAAACCGCCTTGCTGATGCCGAGAACAAAGTTTCTGTACAACAACTTTTAAGTGAGCTTGGACTCTGAAATTAATCGTGATAAATACTTAGTTCATATAAATTCATGCATGTTAAAGGTATTTTTTGTCAGCGAGTAATTTATAATAATAACCAATTTTGAACCTATATTTCTCTTTTGTGTGTGTCTTAATGTGCCTGGTTGAAAGTGTTAAATCAACACCTTAAATCTGGTGTTATTTTAGCACCAGATAGGAAGAGCTGTTGCTTTGGCACTGCCAAATCAGGTGTTATTTTAACGCCACAATATAGGTGTTAAATTAACTCTTAAAACTGGTGTCATTTTAGCACTTAAAAGTGGTGTTAGTTTAACACTATAAACAGGTGTTAAATTAACCCCAAAAACTAGTGCTAATTTAACACTAAAAATGGGTGTTGTTTTAGCACCATATCTAGTGTTATTTTAACACTTTTTTAGTGGTGTTAAAATAGCACCAAAAAGTAGTGTCATTTTTTACCTAATTTTTTAACACCACTTTTTGGTGTTATTTTAACACCCTAAAATTAACAGTGTACAACTCCAGTTTTAAACAATAATTTTTTAGCTATATTCTTATCTAGAACTATCACAATTAACAACTTGTAAATAAGGAGTGTTTGTAGACATTTTTACTCGTATGCATGTAAACCAGTGTAATTCAGTTCTTAACTGCAAAATTGGTATCTTTTAATAAATTATAAATTATAAATTATAAATTATAAATTTGATCTTGTTAATGCTCAAATTCCAAATTGACCAATTTTAAAAACAAGTAAGCTTATTAAAACACATCGCTGTAAAGGTTTAATTTTGCCATTAATGTTTTATATTATATATATATATATATATATATATATATATATATATATATATATATATAGATGGAACACAGTAATTGGTTACGACCAGAAAATAAACGTACATTTTTTTATTAAGGTCGAAAATTATTTTATGTTTCTTTTCTGTTCATAACCAATTACTGTGTTCCATATGTTAAAAACGAGTTGGTTGGGAAAAGTATTGTCCATTAGGACTATATTCAAACTATAAAAGTTGAATTTAAGTATTTATTATGTTTACACAATTGCAAGAAAATGTCAACCCAATATTTTTGATGTGCTGCTGTCTCTGATGTTTCCGGTGAAATTAATTGTGTTTATATTTGACATGTAAATTATAAAAACATTAAGGTGCAATGTAAGCTCATTTTTTAACACCAACTGATCATATTTGGAAACCAGAATAATTGTGCCTTAATGGTTAAATAATTTACATACCAATATCTATAATGCACTCGATGCATTCAGAGGTTTCCTTACACACACTGCAACATAAATATCCAGGTGAAACAGGTACTGGTAGGTTGACATCCAAAAACTGTACAAGTAAGCATCGCAAGCATTGATCATTGCAATGGCAGTATGTCCTTACTTCTTCTTGGAAACCTGGTTTGTTCTGAGCAATATCTCTGTTGCTGTAATAGAGGATAGCTTTTGAAAACTTACCATCTCTGCCTGCTCTACCAGTTTCTTGGAAATACTCCCTTATCGTTCTGGGCGGTCCAATATGAATAATTTGCCTAACTGAATGTACGTCTACTCCCATTCCAAATGCAACTGTAGCGAATACCACTCTGAGGTTTGATTTCTCTGAATTCAGCTGGCATAATATTTCTTCCTTCATACCGGTTGTTTGGGGTGCATGGAATTGAGCAAATAGTCTGTTTCTTGGAACAGGTGAAGAATTGGATGGGTAGTACTGATACAATCCCAGGATGCTCTCAAACAGTCTATATACAAACCCACACCATTTAAGTGACATATACGTAATTGTCAATGGATAGTTGATGGTCATATTCATTAGGTCATTGGCAATTGGTCTACAAATGTTCTCAATGGAGTCAATGTCTTGTCCCTTTCTAAAACATTTCTCATAAAATATATTCCTACGATCAGGATTTGCTACCAACTCGGCACAATTCTTTAACCCAAGCGATTCTTTGACATGCTTTCTGTCCATTTTATTTGCAGTTGCAGTCAATGCAAGGACCGGAGCATTGGGAAAACTTGCACACAACATTCCAATCTTTCCACAATCTTTAAATTTTCTAAAATCATCTCCCCTAAAAGCACAATGATAAGTGCATGTTAGAATGTATCATAAATCTATACATTCAATAAACATTATAGTCAAGGAAAGTTTCAAATTCCCCGTTATTGCTAAGATCTGTATTCTAACTGTAGTACAAAAGTCTAGCTACTGTAATTGACACATTGTGCATTTATAATGTTAAAGTAGGTTCTATATTAGCGAATAACATTTCTTCCAAACTATTACAGGTAAACCATACAAATTTGTTATCTCATAATTTATATACATACACATATTTATATACATACCATTCTATGATGCAGTGTGCTTCATCAATGACAAGAGCACAAACATTTTTTTGATAGACCACACTATTGACAAGACTTCGTCCAAATCTGCTAGATAACAGTGATTCAGGATGTGCAAATAAAATGTTATAATAACCAGCAAGCAGTCTTTCCTTTTTGTCAAGTTCAACTACGTCGCAGAGAACTTCGTCGCCGCTAGAATCACTTGTAATATCATCACAAGTTCTGTTGACATTTAATATGGACACTCGAAGGCCTGTCGTAAGTATCTTCCGAATTTGGTCGTTAATGAGCGAATTTAGAGGGGAAATAACAATAACGACAGACGTTAAGTCGCATTCATTAATGGAACGTTGAATCTGGATTCCTTCTAACCATTCTTTGCAGTACAACAGCAACGGTAGAATCTGATATATTAACGATTTCCCATAACCTGTTGGAAGAACCGCCAGTACATCCGAGCCAAAAAACAATTTTTCCAAACAAATAACTTGCTTTGGTTTTAACATAATATTAGAATATAAGCTATTTCTAATAGCGAAATGTAAGAAAGCAAAGAAAATCATACATTTAGATCCTCTTTCCATTTTATCTGCTATATTTGCGTCGAAGCAAGCTACCAAAATTTGCGCTCTTCACCCCTTCGAAACGACGATACACGCTGTTTTCAACCGGAAGTCGATTTTTGCACCACTGGTGTTCTACCGATCCCCCCCAAGGTGGAGAGTAAGTAAAAGTGTCACGTGACCAGTCTGAACCAGGGTCTTCGCCGCAGCCCAGCGTAGGTAGAAGACCCTGGCTTGCGAGGTTGTGTTTATTATCTGACTGTTCATCATCAATTCTATTCGCTGTCAATATATGATCTCCACGTTGAAATCTAAAATCAAAAGCATATTCTGGGTGTTTTCGTTAGCAGACTCATCAGGAGTAGGGTCAAACTAAAGGGTAAAATTATTAGAAATATTACGCCATAATTTTGACAGTGTCAGTGTATTTATAAAATTACAGTACACTGTTGAAAACAGCAAAGCGGAAATTTGACCAAGTAACAAGTCAACCGTAATGCATTGTAATATACTCAACTTAAATGCTGCGCTTGTTTTCACGTTGATGATACACAGATATTTAACGCCATCCAACTTAGAAAGAAGGGCCTCGCTATATATTAATTGGGAATATAAACACAATTCTTCCGCTTTCACAGACGGATTATTTGTAAAGAAAAAATAATGAGACTTTCCATGTTTTTGGCCATTTTGAAGAACGTCGGCCTCCACCCTGCCCCATGATCAATGTTGGAAAAAGCGGGTTGAATTTTCTCTTTTCAGTCATTCACACAACATGAATTGTGGTTAAGGGGGCATTAATGCGGTTGTCTCAATAATTTGTGCTCCTGATTGCAGGGCATTATGCTTGGTTAGCGCTATTTTCCATCCAACAAACTGACCTGACATCATTTTCGGAAGATGGAAGAGGTGCTAAATGGCTATGTAACTAACCCAAACCTAACCCCTAACTCTAACCCTAACCTCAACGTACCCTAACTCTAAACCTAACTTTACAAAATCGATAGGGCGGTTTGCTGGATGGAAAAAAGTGCTAACCATTTTGCTTCTGGTCAGCGGAAATGGCCCCGGCATCGATCGGCCGGTTCACATAACATCAGAATCTACAGTATTTGGGATGTTCAATTATGACAATTTATGCGTATAAGTACATATATATGATAAATGTATACATTTTAGTGCAGACTCACAGGAGTAAACACACGCAATGCTTCGTGTATAATCAAAGAGAAAGCAACCAAATAAGTTGACTTTATTCGGTTTTCGTTGTTTACACCTCATTCAGCAACATAGCCCGTTATATTGATGACTTTTAATTAAATTAAACATATTCAGAGCGTAGTTAGCCTGTGAATAATTCTTAATGAACAACCAAGCCGCTTCATATTTCATATATTCGTATTACAATCTGTATTAACGATAACGCTGCACGTTTCTTGAAATCAATGATGTGTAAACCCTTGTAGAATCCGACATATTTATAACCTATTTTATACCTATTTTTTCTCTATTTAGCCCTATTTTTTCCGTATTTTTTCAAAAATGTGTCTATTTTATTACTATTTATCAAATTTCATAAAATAGGATATGACTATTTACGCTCTATTTAAAATATATGTTATTTATATTTTTCAAAAAAATAGCTTTTAAATAGGTATTCAAATCCTATTTGAAAGAGTATTTGACGGAATCTCTCTATAAAATAGCTATTAAATAGCTATTTAATTCCTATTGATGACAAACGAGTCAGTTAAAATAGTTTTAAATAACTATTTTTAAACTATTTTTGCTTATCTTTTTGGAGCCATTCTTAACACATTTATTAAATAGAAAAATAAATATATCTTAAATAGCTATTTATTTCCTATTCATAGAAAGTTGTGGCAAACTTTGGTTCAAAATAGCTATAAAATAGCTATTTTTAAACTATGTTTGCTTTTATTTTTGGAGCTATTATTGAGTATTGTTAAAATAGTTATTAAATAGGAAAATAAATAGATCTTAAATAGCTATTTAATTCCTATTGATAGAAAGTTGTGGCGAACTTTGTTCCAAATAGCTATTAAATAGCTATTTTTAAACTATGTTTGCTTTTATTTTTGGAGCTATATTATTGAGTATTGTTAAAATAGTTATTAAATAGGAAAATAAATAGATCTTAAATAGCTATTTGATTCCTATTCATAGAAAGTTGTGGCGAAGTTTCGTCAAATGGCTATTAAATAGCTATCTTTTTTATTTTTAGAGCTATTGTTAAAATAGCTAATAAATAGCAAAATAATTCGATCTTAAAAAGCTATTTATTTCCTATTCATAGAAACAGTTGTGAGAATTGAGAAAGGGTAAATGTATTTATTTAACTGGTCAAAAATTACCAGTTTGATTTAATTTTTAATTTTTTATGAGTTCATTGAAATTATATTTACAAAAATATTTATAGTCTTTGTGGAGGTAGGTCTTTTGTCTCTTGACAAAACACCACCAAAAATTCTCACGAAGAGCGCGGTTTTGACAGACTCACAGACTGGTGCTTAATTTTCCAACAACGCGCGCAAAGCTTTCTGGGATAGCGTCACAATTCACACCACTATATTTAAAAATTTTTGAGTTTAACTCCTTCCTGACAGGCCCAATTCGCGTCGATCGCGAGCGATCGACGGCTCGAAATTTCATACTTTCGGTTCAGTGCATGCTATGAAGACAGAAATACCACCATTCGATTCAGAAATAAAATATCAACTAGTTCCAAACGATAGTTATAGTCATTATTAGTATTGTAACGATTTATGGGCCTTTGAAAGTCAAAACGATCATATTGTATCATATTACGCAATTGTCTGAACAAAAATACAGATTATTATAGACTAGCCATACCTTTCGCCGAAAATAACTTCGGCCCCATCGAACATATCGTCTTTGTAATAGTCTTGTTCGAATCCCCATTAAATAGTGTTTTTGGGGTGTTATTTGCAACCCTGAATCTACAAATCTGTATCTTTTATCAATATATTTCCATTTCTTGTCCGACTGTGAGCTCGAAGTGAATTAATCCCAACCGGAAATACGACTGAAACCCGTCAAAACAATGCGGCGTTTGTATCGTATGACCCTGGAAAGGCCAGAAATGGATTCGCAAGGTCAAATGCACCTACACGCGTGAGTTTGACGTCATCCCGGCCAAAGGAGCTTCTTATTGGCCAATTATTGCGCAATGTACGCAAGTGCGAGTAAAACCAATCTCGTTCCCCGAGCATGCCCGTTCGCAGGTTAAGGGTGGGCATAGCTCTGGAGAAATCGAATTGTTCACGTTGAATTTCCAACGTGAGTTCTACGCATGCTCGTGCTTAATTCCGCGATGCAGTATCAATGCGGGCTCGAAAGGTTCATAACATAGTCCATATCATTTCAAAACTTCAAAACTGTGCGATGTTTTCTTTTGTCTTCGATAATTTTATTTAAATCACTTTCGATGGAACGTTTGGAGAGAGCAGTTAAAGATGCTTTGGTAAAGAGAGGTTTCGAATTTACGTTAAAGAAAGAACAGTTCGAGTGCATTTCGGCCATCGTAGACGGAAGGGATGTCCTTGCTGTTTTGCCAACTGGTTATGGGAAATCATTGATTTTCCAGCTATTACCAGATGTATATGATCTTTACCTTGGTGTTGAAAACTCGATTGTTTTGGTAATATCTCCGCTGAATGCACTAATGCAAGATCAAGTCGCTAAACTAAAGGAACGGGGCATTTCAGCCTGTATGATTCAAGGACACGGAGTTGTAGCTGGGGAAGACAAAGATGACTTGAATCTCAAGTTACCGTTGGGCGAACTTGCGAACCCAACATTTCAGTTAGTTTACATGCACCCAGAAGTATGTGTTGACGATAAGAAAGTCATTGGTTTCCTCAATTTAGCTGTTTATCAAGAACGAGTGCGGTGTGTTGTTGTTGATGAAGCTCACTTAGTTTTAAATTGGTATGTAAAAAATGTATTTTTATATTTAATTTTTATAGACACATGTCACTGACATGAGGCTGTCACAAGGGTATCAATCATAAATTTGTCATATGACACTGCATCAGTCATATTCAAAATTTTTAACCCTTTAAGTGGCAATGTGCCCAGATGCACCCTATGTTATTATTTTACTCTGTCTAGCACCAGATGATTTTACACGTCAGGGCCTCAGGGTGAAGTGCAACTAACCACAAATATGATTTTTGGTTTGTGTAATGTTTGGATTATTTGAAGATGAAATGTAATATATAGAGAATAATACATGGCTGCTTGGAAATACCAGATTTATTTATTTTCCAAGCACCCATGTATTTTTCTGTTTAATATATAAAGGATAGTCTTTGAAAAGCGATAATTTTTACAGAAAAGCGATAATTGAAAAGCGATAATTTTCACATGTGAGATTATCATAAATAATCTCACATGTGAGATTATCACTTTTATCAGTGCTCGAAATCTCTATAAAGCACTATACTTATATAATACAATACAATAATTTATTGAATACTTTAATACAATACAATACAATAATTTATTGAACTCTCCCCAACGAGGCTTTTCAGAGCCAATTAACAATTACAAAAAATTATAAGATATACTAACATGAAATTCTAACTAACTAATTACTGGTATGGATGTAAAAAATTGTTAAAGGCCAAATGCTACTATGAATGATTTCCTAAAAGATATTTACGTAATTTATTATACAAAGGCGTAAAAACAATACCTGTGGTTCCGGTTTCATATCGTGAAAAAATTAGGGTCGGTAGGTCGGAAATAAATTTTTGGGGGAATATTTTTTTCATGGTTTTGGCGGTATTTTGCTGGGTGATTTGCAGTAGAGTCCCAACATTAATATTAACTAGAGATGCGTATTTCCTATGGACGGATTTAGGCAATTTGGTTCAATAATTAGTGTGACAACAGATGCCATTTTGGCACGCTGTATGAGCAGCCCGCAACCACCTGGAGAAAATAGGGTCCATAGGTCAATCGCGTTATAGGGTCGACAGAAAAAATAAAAATAATAGGGTCGGCAGAAAAAAATAGGGTCGGTCGGGAACCGGAACCACAGGTATTTTTTTTACGCCAATTGAAAGTATAGTGCTTTATAGAGATTTTGAGCACTGATAAAAGGATAATCTCACATGTGAGATTATTTATGATAATCTCACATGTGAAAATTATCGCTTTTCTGTAAAAATTATCGCTTTTCAAAGACTGTCCTTTACATAATAAACAGAAAAATACATGGGTGCTTGGAAATACCAAATTTATTTCTCGTGTTGAACATGATATGTCACTCGTTCGCTGCGCTCACTTGTGAGATATCATGTTCAACACTCGAAATAAATCTGGTATTTCCGCGCACCCATGTATTATTTTCTATATAATAAAAATACCATCTTGAACACTGTGACCAGGTGTATTTTTTCAAGCTTGCCCGGTGTGGATATATACACTCAGAGTAACATCACAAACATCAGTTTTCCACTGTTAAAATTTCCACATACGATGTCATTAGGTTAATTGCAAATTTGTTTTCCATTTTTTGGACCAAATGAAAAAGTTGATCAAGGTGATGTTTGTTACTATGAAATTACATTACATTTCTCTCAGAATGACCCAACTATTACATACATACAATGTATGGACAGATTGCTGCATGGACAGATTGCTTCAAAAATGTATGGACATATTGCTTCAAAAATAATTAAAACTGCATTCATCATTCAAGAAGCAATTCTCAAATAATTTCTGATGAGAAACTGGAAGTGTTTATTTTGCCTAAAAGGTACCTTGAAATTTGGTAAAATCCACAGGATACCAGTTTCTCTAAAATATTAAACAACATTTGTCTCCTCTCAATACAGATATTTTTATGTTGTTTATATTTTGTCATATAATGCTTTATCATTGACCATGTTAATCTTTATGCAGTGAGTCTGTCATTTGGCCACTGAAAATGGCAATTGAAAATTTGCTATTATGGCAAAAAAAGTCCACATTGTTGAGGTTACACATAGGACTTGATGTACATCAAACTGTCTAGTTGTTTTATAACCAGTTCATAAAACACTTCCAAAATTGCAACCTATGAATTCAAATTGTGTTTTAATTAAATCTTACATCTTTATGTGCAAGTCGTCTTTATATATACATGGTGTATAACAAAAATCCAGACCTTTAGAAATCAAGATATTGTTGGAATTTAGAAAGTTCTGGGCACTTTTTTATACACCCTTTATATGAATATATGTTGTCAATATACAGTATATATAATATATATATATTCTTTTGTTAGGAATTCATTTAGACCTGCATATGGCAAGCTTGATGTTCTTGTCAGCATTTTCCCTGAAATACCTCACCTTGCTACAACAGCTACTGCCACATTGAAATCACAAAAGGAAATATGTGATCGTTTGCAGATTATTGATCCTGTAGTTATATCAGTTAACCCTGACCGTAGCAATATTTTCTTGGAATCAAAAAAAAGGCCTGCAACAGGTGAAGATAAACTACATCCTATTTTAGAGCCATTATGCAAGGAGTTACTTGAGAAGAAAATCAACATGCCTCTAACCTTAGTATATGGTACACTGAACATTTGTGCAGAAAGTTTTCTGTTCTTTGCTAATATGCTTGGAAAGAAGCAATATTTTCCATTGGGTGCACCTCCAAAAAGTGAGAACAGACTGTTTAGTCAGTACCATGCTGAATATCCGCAGCATGAAAAGGAGAGATTAATAAATGGACTTATTAATAATATGTGCAAAGCTCGAGTTCTGTTTGTCACAGTAGCATTTGGTATTGGTGTCGACTTACCTTCTATAAGGCAAGTCATTCACATTGGTGTGCCACGAACTATGGAAGAGTACTTCCAAGAAGTTGGTCGTGCAGGTCGAGATGGTCTACCAGCTGTTGCGACAATCTACTATAACAGTTACGATGTACGATCAGGTGACAATGCTGTTGATGCAGTAATGAAGGAACTTGTGTCTGGCAAAAGTTGCAAGAGGATGTTAATTCTGAACTATTTTGGCCATCAATTAACCCGAGCAAATACGAACATAATCCATGCATGTTGTGACAATGATGCTGCTAAATGTGATTGTGATGAATGTCTTGGAAGTGTCCTTTTACTTCAGTTGCAAAATACAACTGTGCAAGAAACAGTTATACCCGAAAATTGTGCAGAAGTTATGGAGCTGCTGTCTATAGACAGTGAACAAAAGAACGAAATACGTAAAGCTCTTGAGGAACACATGGAAATGTTGTACTTTGGTCCATCATGTGTTGGGGGTATGTCTCTGGCTACCGGCTTTACACCAGACTTGATTGCTAAGGCTATAGAACAGTGTGAACATTTGGTATCAATTGAAGCTGCCGAACACCTTTTACCTGTTTTCAGCAGAGAAAATGCAACAGTTATTTTTAATATTGTTAAAACATTTTCATCATGAATTTGATGTACACAAGAATATTCAGTGTAATGTATTGATTAAATGTAGATGCTTTGAAAGTTTCAACACTGGACAAAATGGAACAAAGGTATATTAATTTATCCGAACAAGCTTTCGTTGGTAGGGATGCAACTACCGGAAAATACTGTATATAAGGAGAATTTAGACTTTTTGAGCGAGGCTATCCAGCCGAAGTCTTTTGCTCGAAACGTCTATATTCGCCTTATATATATATATATATTTTCAGGTAGTTGAATCCCTACCAGCGAACACTTGTTCATTTGATTGGCACTAGCAAAGACAGTTCAATATTACTTTATAAGCTACATCACTTACATGCAGTGCTGAAATCACTACACTAAAGGCAGAATGCTGAAATCAGTGGGTACTGGGTAGTGAAATAGTGAAATACAATCACAAATATTGCAACACAATTTGTATAAGAAGTTGCATCTTGTAATAGCGCATAATTTATAAGTCAGGATTAAGATAGATACAACTATCTGAAATTAGCAGAAATTCAGTAGGCTAGGAGAAAACATTAAATATACTTGGTACCTACATATTTTCCTCTTCATCCAAATCCTCAAGTGTAGTTAGGTCATCATCATCCTCTTCTTCACTTTCTTCTCCATCTTCAGCTTCGTAACCCAAGAATGGGTTTTTGGCAATGGCCTTTTTCTTGCTTGTCAACCATGCATCGAGAGAAGATGTATCCACATTATTTAGAGGACTATTCGAAATTGTAGGAAATGCTGTATGTTTACGTCCATTAGTGTAGCTAAATGGCTTTAATTTTCTGAGAACATTGACCATCTGTGTAATGTCAGTGCTTGGATCTCCATATGTATGTGACTGTGACTCTGGTTTTATGTTGCATTCTTGGTCAAAATTGTCGGTAATCTTTTTGACATTATATGCACTCTGGGTGGCCCTGGTCACAGCTTTCAATGTTTTATTGCCACATAGTCCTCGTAAAATCACTTTATTGCATTTTACCAAATGTTCTTGTTTCAGGTCATTTGCGTAATTTCTTCCCATTCCACCAGATGGGTTTACAAATTGGCCATGTATGACTCTATGTGCCATTTTCTCTGTGTATAACGCTCTGCAGTACGTTATCAGTCGCATTGCTTCAAAAGCGTATTTTTTTGATCTTCCCGAGCATCTCGCGTACAACATCAGCAATTTCCAATTCCTCATCATTCTTTCCCCGTCCCCTTCATGTTCCGTGTCATCCAGTTGCATAAAGAATACTCCCATTTGTATGACCTGAAGAGCATAGTTGAATACATGGTCTTCTTGTGGCTGGGGAGTAGGTCGTTGGTTGACATCTTTTGGCAGAGGTTGACATACAGTGGCAACTTGAACTGGCCTGCCAACAAGCTTTTTTGGCCAGAAAACATCTTTTCCCGTTTCAAAATCTTGACCCTTTGTCAGTTCGTCTGTAATTAATGTGGCATTGACGACAGCAGTGATCTTTATTTTGAAATATTCTGTGTTGTCGTTACTTGTTTCATGATTTCCGTCCGTCGACGTTTGTGCTTGCCCAACGCCCACAAGGTCCTTGATGTTGCTCCCCAGCAAAACCACCGTTTCATCTAGGATGTAATGTTTCCGGAATTAAAAATGGCTGGTCTTTAATATCTAGTTATATTTCAATAAACAATAGTAAATTAATAATCATAATTTTATACTATTCAATGCATATACGCTCTTTCTCCAGGGTACAATATTCTTAACGACATATGTGGAAATCGTTTACCTTGTTTGTATGTGCTCTTTGGATCAACTTGAATAACAGCGACCTTTTTGCTCGTTGTAGCTGTGGCAGTATTTTGATTTTGTATAGGGGTTGACTGCTGATCTATAAGTGGCAAAAGAAAAAAGTCAAACAACATAATTGTTGTATAACTGGTTATATATTTTATGTACTTTGATAAACATAAATCATTATGGTTATTTTTACTGATCGTAAACATTTACATATGTGATGATGGGGCCATTTGTCCACCTGCCCTCCCCCTCTTGGCGGCGATGAGTAGTCCAAATATAATCCTGCTGTTATATTATTTCAGTACGTACGGTATACGGTGGTGTTATGATTTATATACAGCTAATTCAAAAAAGGTTGTCCTTTGCAAACTTTAAACTCTAAATCTTAAACTCTAAACGTGCAAAGCATAATGGGAGCATCATTTAATCCGTTTAGAAATCATATGTGGAACCCATTTCTTAGAGACATGTTAAATACCTCCTGACGAGAGCAATTCATTCACAAATGGCTGCAATGTTCAACTACTAAGCTTGAATCTTCTGCTCCCATTAAGCTTTGCGCGCTTAGAGTTTAAGTGTGCAAAGGACAACCTGTTTTGAATTGGCTGTATATATCAGGGTTCGTAGCGGTCTTTGAAATCCTTGTAAGTAAGGTCTTTGAAGAGTCTTTGAAGTGTGTGAAAAAGCGAAGAAAGTCTTTAAATTCTTTAGTGATTATTTGATTATACGATTTCCTAGCTAATAAAATAGATTGATTGAAGCAAAATTTTCGCAAATATCGACGAAAAGTGCATTTTAGGACGTGATTTGACGGAACTAATTACCTGGTAAAAATGGTGCTTATACATCGCAATTTTTCGACACCTGATTGCTCTCAAAGGTCTTTGAAAAGTCTTTGACAATAGACAGAGGCAGTCTCTGAAAGTCTTTGAAATTTTTTGATCTTGGAGATTACGAACCCTGTATATTGAAACTAGTAACTGCATGCTCGAATAAAAAAATGATATTTTACCAGTTGTAGTTTGACGTCGACTTTTCTTTTGTGACAAGGCTTTCTCTGCATCCAAATCTGGGAGGATGAATTCGTCAACAAAGTTTCCAATTACAGATTCCATGAATTGTTTCTTGATTGCTTTGGTGGTATTAGCATGTGGGATCGTTATGTTTGATGGTTTTCCATCCATGTCATCCAAACCGGCCCACTCCATGAATGCTTCGCAGACATATGCCTTTGTTACTTCTTGCAACAATTCAGCAGACGCCTTGAAATTCTTTTTCACGTCATTGTATACGTTCTTTTTGCCCAATTTCTGGCGAAAATGATAGATAGTGCCAACATCTCTTGCACTTTTTGGCGTGTATAAATGTTTCCATGTAGTCTATAAAGTATAATAATTAATATTACAATCACATAACTGACTGACACATTGGTTTGTATTAGATGTATAAAAAAGGGTTTGGGGTCCATTGCGATCGTTTTGTATTTAGTCCCATTCACGCGATACTAATATCTGCCCACAAAATTTCCCCCTTCAACAGTTTTTTTCGTTTTATTTCGTATATCGCAATTATTTTTATTTCATATATCGCAATTTTAAGTGTTACGATATTTCTGATACTGTTCTGAAACCCTGCAACCGGGGCCTTAATGCGTGGATTCGGACAAAATTTACCTTACTTAGAACAATCGTTACTTATAACATACCAAGCTTACAAACCTACTAGACTAAACAGGCTTTGCACCAGGATAAGAATAACAAGAAATGACAATGTCATATGAACTATAGAAATCATCTTTCTAAAGAACTAGTCATAAACACTGATCACTTTTGTTTCAGGAAACCAATCACAAAACGTGTTAATGTCAGTTAGGCACTATACTGTACATCCGAATTTTAATAAGAGTTGATGAGTTTTTATTTGTTTGACCGTTAATATTCTGCTAACTCTAATAATCTCTCACCCAACTCTGGTTATAAATTCATGTCTTGCTGTTTATGAATGGTGAGCCCCATCCTTACCACACAGTAGATACATATACAGAGTTGTAACTAGTGTACCCACTTTTTTGTGCGCATGCTCAGCAAGTTACTAGATGCATGCATCTGATTGGATGACGACTCGCTTCAACTGCTCGCGGAACTTGCAGAGCACGCGCAGTTGATCATTTTTTGCCCGGTCGCCAGAAAAAAAGTGGGTACATGAAAACGTACGCTTCCGCAGTGTTTACAACGGTCAGTTACAGCTATGTATATGTATTTACTCTGTGTCCTTAACCCTGACTATAACCCTAACCGCTGACCCTAACTCATGAACAGCGAGACATGAATCTATATCTCCACCTCTTGTCTCGTTTGACCGCGGGACAAATTTAACCATAGCTTCTCAATGTGATCGACTCTCAACCTCGCGTTATTTTAACCAATTAACGCTAAAGAACATGCATGCAAGTGTAAATGCAGTGGTCATTACGTTTTATCGTATATTACTATATTTGTATCACGAGTATTGCTGACTTACGCTTAAAAAAAACTGTTTTGCGTGCCAAACAGCTGGGATTTCCACTGTCTGTTCAAATTATCGCTTGAATAGTCACACCCCGTTCTAGTCTTCTTAGCACCAGTCAACCTCTCTCTACCAAGAAGGTCTCCAACCAGTGGAACCTTCACGTTTTGAAGTACTTCAGACTTTTTAGCTGCGGTCTCAGCTGATGATGGCGTCTCATCAAGACATTCTGGCTCATCTTCGCTCGGATCACGATAAACTTGGTACAAAAACTCAGTGACATATTCTACGTACTTGCAAATGTCCGCTGTTTTATTTTGGTTGAATGGTACTACTGGCATGTTAATAACTTCTGATTTCTCGGCCATTTCCTTGGAAAATACATGCTCGATATGGGAGGGAACAACGTTCTTTATAACTTTCAAACACGGAAAAAAGTCCAATAGAATCCGGCTAATCAGCACAATATACTCGAATCGCGTATTCTGCAATTCACTTTTAGACAGCAGATACTCCTTGTTCTCAAATTTGGAGATATCTTCAACCAATGGTTTGGAGTCGTCCAAGTGGGAAGACGGTACTCTGTCGAATGTTATATATTGACATATCCAATGCATGTCTGAATTCTTATATCCACTAATGATGATGTTGGTTAAAATGTTGAAGTCGAAATTATCGAATGTCCATCGGATTTCTTTTCCTTCTTTAACCATTTTTCTGATGTAATCCATAACGCCGTCCTGCAGATCGTCCAAAATGTTCCTGAAAGAATGCCGTACCTGGCAAATCCCAAGAGCGTTACATCGGTCAAATGTCTGTATAGGAAGAAGAGAAGAAATAAAATTATTAATATTTACGTGCATGAAATCGTGAGTAGGTTTGGAAAATTGTAAAGGAAAGCAGATCGACAATTGTGCGATCTGTTGTAAGGTCGATACCTTGACAGACTGTATAACTAAAGGATATGCTAGCTGTTAGTTGGATGACTGAATGAGAATTCTCATAGCAAACGTATAGTACGTATAAAACGGAATGAAGGCCAAATTATAACGTACTGAAAGTGGAACATGAAACTGAAAGTTTGAACATGAAAATATGATTATGATTTAATTCATATCAAATTCATGGCAGTGATATTTTCAAGTAATATACCTTCGCTGTGCAATGTCCTACTCCAAACAAGGTTGTTATAACTTTTTGAATTACACTAAGTTCCCTCCATCTGTTGTTGAGCAGGATACCATATGCTACACAGAGTGGCGCGACCTGTTTGTCCGTATCTTTGAGTTTGGGAATACTTATTGAACATAGAAAATCTAAAACATCCGGTGCTCTTTCTTTCATCTCTTCTAGTACTTTTGTCCACGTGAATTCCTCTAACTGTTGCTTTGTGTCCTTACGCTTGGTAAGTAGAACTGAGGGCTCCTGTCCAGTGTCGCGGCGTTTACGTATACATAACTTATTACATTGATCGTCAATCTCTTTCATCATAGTATACTTAACAGAGCTTCTTAAGTTGGGCAATGAAAAAATGACCCGACAAATTTCTGCAGGAATTCGTGTGTTCAAAGCTAAGTACAGACTTTTGGCATCGCTTTCTGTCAACATAGGTTGTGTCTGGGAACTCTAAAAAAATATTTGTGTACAAAGGTTAGGCAATTTACTCACTTACTTAAAAAATACTATCGTTTTAAGTTATGCCTTTTTGACACGTAAGATGCATTCCTTGCACTGGGAGACTGGTGGTTGAGGTTGTGAGTGCATAATGATGCTGCGCCTTTAGACGTCAGGGACGTGATGGGGGGGGGGGGGAGTGTTAAGCATCCAAATACAGGAACTTTAAGTTATTGTGTTTCTATCGAAAGAACATATTAGCACAATCAGGAAGTTTATTAGAGATGGGGTTAAAACAGGGGTATAATAGAGAATGGGCGCTCAATAGCGGGTGTAATAGAGAATGGGCGTAATAAATATAAAACTAATAGAGATGAGAGCTAATAGAAAAGGGGCTTAATGGAGAGGAGACTGGAACGGGGCCTATTGGAAAGGGGGCTGTAAAGAAAGGGGGCTTAATACAGGAGAGCTTATTTGAGGAGCTTATTAGGGAGGGGGTAATAGAAAGGAAGCTCAATAATTAGGGGTGTAATATAAAGGTGGAGAGGTTAATAGAAAGGAGCCCTCTATGATTGGACTTTTAAGGGACAGAAGTAAATAGAAACAGATACTGCTGGGGGTGTAACCTGCCCCCCTCCTCCCAAAGAAAAGTCAAGAAAGAGGGCCCAATTTCCCCAGATGGGGCCCCGGAATGCTAGAATTGCATAACGTGTTAAATATTAAGGAATATTCTGAAAAATTGAGGTCGAAAAAGGTCTGAAAAAGTATTTTTAACCCCCACCCGTTATCGCAAAATAATGTTTGGAAGTCGACCCCCACCCCCAGATATCGCTTGTTACGTGCCTAGTTTCAGGAACATACGGTACGGGTGTAGTTGATCACAATAATCATTCATGAAAATTTGGAAAGACAATCATTATACATATACTCATGCTACAGTAGCGGGTGCGCTTATTTAAGGATTTATGGTACTTGGTACAATACCTCAGCGCTCCGTAATCCAGCAAGTCGAAGAATTTCATGACTTCGAGTCTCAGTCACTTGAGATGACGGTTGCGCAGATTGGATTCTAGACTGTCCGATCGTAGATGAAAACGTCGCCAACAACGACCCACGATATAGCTGTGCTTGTCCTGACTGTTGGTGGGACTCAAAAGAAGTGGACGTAGGGGAAGGGTACGGTCTTATACGTTTTGGTCTATGAAGGTTTATGGACGGTGATAAAGTTTTACTTGCTGGGCTTTTTTGTTGTTCGTATGTGCGTTTAGCATGACTTGTACCAATTACTTCACCAGATGATTTTTCCGCAGCGCTTTGACAGAGTGATGCAATTTTTTTCACTCGGTCGTTTATACCCTTCAAAATAGTAAAGCAGCACCTGCATATCTTGGAAGATTTGCCTATTTCCGTAGCACGAACTGTTATGCCACCGTATTTTTCTATTGCCTCTATTATATTTTCCTTTGAAGCAGTCTCTCCAAATAAACTCACAGTGTTATAATGAACGATGTATTTTCCGCAACATCTACAATGCATCTTGAATACAATAGCTACCGTCTGTGCTACACGACTGCTAAACCCTTTTGAAATTTGTCAAAACATGCACGCAGCAAAAAAGGGGAGATTTCACACTAGTTAAGGGCATGTAGGTGGCTTTGATCTGTGTTTATATTTATTTTGTTTTTTCATTGTAGTACCCGACGTCTTATTTTTATATATTGATCAACATGCGTAAATTAGCATTTGCACGCAAGCGAACAAAAATAAAATGAAAAGCTTTTGTTACAACATTTTGCATTAGCCGTACTCATAAATGAGTACTAAATCTTATAGGTTTTGTAAACAATTTTTATGGCCGCTTCTGCTTTTGTCAGTTTGATCTCATTTTGTCTTCACAATTAGAAATCTGCACGCATGCATATGAGATTTCATAATTAGCGATTTATGTTCGAATCTGTCTAATTATACGAACATATTTTTTAAAATTTTTATAATTACATTGGACGTAAATAAATTTGGTGTATTACATCTAGGCCTTTCCCGATTGCGCTGAGCACTTTTTGAGCACTTTTTTTTGTTTGGAGCACCATTTTGCATGTTGAGCAACGTTGAGCACTTTTTCGCACTTTGGGCAACATTTGAGCAATATTTCACATTTCGAGCGAATTTTGAGCAACAAAAAGTCAGCGATTATAGAATTCGATTCGTACCTCGATTAACTAAACATACAGTTCGGAGTAAGGTTTAAAAATTGACGGGTATTATACTATTATTTTATATATAATTTAGGTATAACTCCAAAAGAAAAGCCGTACAGCTGCATATAACATTACAGTTAAAAAATTAGAACGCTGACTTTTTCGAGTTCTCTTTTTTTTGTCGTAAACAACTCCATATACGGAAGTTTGTTCCATATATGGAGAAAGACGTGGAAACAGATTTTAAAAAATGCTGATTTTATAAAATTTACGAAAATCTTAGAGGTAACTGTTCACAATTTTAGCACTTTTTGAGCACTATTTTGAGATTTTGAGCACTTTTTGCCAGCACTTTTTTAGGATTTTACCAGCGCAATCGGGAAAGGCCTAATTACATCTAGATACATGTCCAATAAAATTATCAACTGCAGCTGCCAAAGACTCGTGGGGGACTAACAATAACGTACAACTTTTTTGTATAGACACCAGTGACGGCGCCAAGGATGGGCAAATGCCCCCCAAAACTATTTTCTCCCCCCCCACCCCATTTTGGCCCCCCCCCCTCCAAAAAAATTATTAGTCACTGAGAGCGAATAAAGGCTACACAAGCGTTTTGTCGTTATCGGAAAATGTACGGCTTATAAGTTGTCATTAATATCAGTTAGTGAATGCGATTATACATGAAACTGTTTTTTTACTGTTTCAATATTAGTTTGTAAATCTCTGAATGGTAAAACTTGCCAATACTCCAATAATACATTTCAAAAAAGACAAAAAAGCTTTAGTTTTGCAGAGTTAAATTCTCAAACGTGTAAGGCACTAATAAGATGAAAGTATCACGAAATTATTTGAATAAACCACATCGCATATATGGGGGGCAAATATCCTAAACGGGGGCAATATTCCTAGGGTATTCGCCCCCCTGGGGGGCAATATTCCTAGGAATATCGCCCCTCTTTTGAGAGGGGGGCCAATCTCCTGGGGTTGGGGGGGGCAAAAGTCCTTGTGACAACGGCATGGGCAAATAGCAGAACCTTTTTAAAAATTCTATCTTGCCCCCCCAAAATATGAGTTTGCCCTCAAACCCCCCAAATTCTGAGGCCTGGCGCCACCACTGATAGACACCATTTTTCATTCAACAGTCGCATATATACCAGATGCGCATATGCAAAGAATAAAACACATTGGTCATATATTGTATAAAGTACTTGCGATGTATTGTTACGTAAAGATGGGTGTGTGTGTGTGTGGAGGGTGGGGTGGTGTTCTGAATCACATGTTTTAATTCCTGATAGTGAAACTTTACTAGCTATATATGAAGATTGATTGATACCCAACATTCTATAGTCAAAGCCAAAGAGATCTCTATCTCTTTCATGAGATAATGCTAATATTTTAAAATTATAATTTGTTTCTATATAATGATGCCAGATTGCCAGATAGAGACTTACCATGCTAGGCGGGCCTTATATTATTAAACATCTATGTTATATCATTTTTTTCTATGGCTACAGTTAAATTAATACAAGCTAAAATTATTTGCGTGCAGTTATACTGTCGGCATGAAGAAACATTAATTGCAGCATATTTAGCTGCAACAAATTAGAACAACACCTCGTAGATAGACAAAGCCGTTCAACAAAGAACTCATTAATACTCAAGTTTAATTAACATGTACACTTGAAATGGAAACTGTCAAGGGCAAAAATGTAGGTCAGTAGGTGAGATTGTTTACGTCTACGAGCGAGTGTAGCGACAGGTAGTTGGAATATTATATCCACGCCAATATTTATAAGAGAAAGACCGGCGCCCGATCTAATGTAACTGAATAGAAGCAAATCCGTTTAATGTTTTGTGACATTACATTATTCTTTGCATAATTCGAGAATGCAGCCATGCATGTCTGTGACTGGAGCTTTAATTCATATCGGTATCACCAACAAAAGTCTTTGCCGTATAAATATACAATATAAAATACTATATATCGTAAACCTTCTATAAAAATTATTGTATTTCCACTTGTATTTTGAAATCCTGCAAAATATACTGTACGATTTCATGTATTTCTATTTCTTGTTTACATCATACTCGGAAACATCCGCGCGTAATTCCCGCACATGCCCGCATTGAAACCATAGAAACCGACTTACTATATCGGTGTCATTGATCTCACGGCAGCCAATGAAATTGAGAATTCAATTCGATTTCTCCAGAGCTATGCCCACCCTTAACCTGCGAACGGGCATGCTCGGGGAACGAGATTGGAGTAAAACCCGATATCTTGAAAAATTCAAAATAAATATTTCTAGTCGGCGTATACATACGAAACTTTCTACACGAAAGCGCTTGAATACAGAGAGTATTTTACACGTATAGCCGTTTAGCAAATGACTAAAAGTTCAAGGGGTATTCAAGATCTTGTGGATATGAAATCTAGAATCTTTGGCCAAGCGGTGAGTAAATATATGATTGTTTCGCTTTGTGTAATGTTTTGACGGCACTTGACCCCCCGTTCGAAAGGTTATTTTATGAGGATTTCAATGGTGTCATTTATTTAAAAGGGGGGTAAATACTCGCCGAGATATTTATATTAGAAAAATTGAATCGAAATGTAATGCGAAACCGGCCTGTCAGGAAGGAGTTAACTTTCCGCTCGAAATACTCAAATACAGAGCATTTATTGAGCGAAAGTAATATTTATTTAAAAGATTAAAGATCAGGAATGACTGGCTAACATCCAGGTAAGAATTTTGTTATGTTTTATTTATAAATAGAGCAATTTTGAAACGAAATATTTACTATCTTCATTCGTGAATTTTGAGCACATGTTCCAGCTTAAAATTTCAATCTGCTTCGACAATATTTGAATTAAAACAACATTAGTTTTATAGAAGGCTTATATTTGACTCAGCCTTTATATTAAATGTTGTTTATTGTAATGCCAAATAGTATACTTTGACCTTTGTGTATAGTGTATAGTGTATATGACAGATTCCAGTGTTTCTTGTATAAAATAATATAGCTTGGCATCTACTCAATTCTCATATGCCTACCCAGGCATGTCCCAGCTAAACATGAATTAAAACAACTTTAGTTTTATAGAATGGCTTACATTTGACTCAGCCTTTATATTAAATGTTTATTGTAATGCCAAATAGTATA